TTTTTTTTTTTTTTTTTTTTTTTGCAGTTTTTATAACTTTTGTGGCTAGAAAGGAACCGGAAATTGTTTTTTAGGTGAGATAATATGTGGGAGGATGTTTTAATTTAATGTATTTTAATGTTTTCCTTCGGGCTCTTGATTCAAATGTATTTTGTAATTTTCCTTATTTTCGGTCACCAAGAGGTGGAGGTCATATTTGTAGTTACTGTAAGTAATGCTTTCCCCAACTTGGCCAGGCCATTCTTTTTTGTGGATCACTTCTTGTATTTTGTTTTGTTTTGTTTTATTATTATTACTTTTGTAAGAGGTGTAACCCACTTTTGTGATCCAAAGAGTGCATACGCTTCAAAGGTAAAAATGTGAGCTGATGGAAGCCTTGAAAGCATATTTGATTTCTGATGGTGTAAGCCTTTTATAACATCAATCTAGGATCAGTGAGCTGATTGGCTAATATGAGGCAAAAGTGTGCTATCTTATCATGAGTTTGGAGAACTCGTTACTGGACATAGTTGATCAGAGGTGTGCTCCGTCTGATTTGTGTTAAGCTAAAACAGACTGCAATAGCCGTTGACACTTTAACTACAATTTGTGGAGTTGGTTTCTCTATAAAGCTGCCATGCTGAGCTAACTTGGAAACTTCCCTTGTACTTTGTACTGTAAAATTAGAATGCTTTTAATTAATTTTGAAACTAATTTCAAACGTCATAGACCAAGTAGAAATCAAAGTCAAACAGTTGGACTAAACATTTCACCTTTGAAACCCCAAAGACCAAATAAAGACTAAATTTAAATCTTAAAAACTACCATTGGTTGGCCTAGTGGTCGTAAGTGTCACATAAGTAATAAAGGGCTTAAAGGGAACAAGTTCAAACCACGGTGGCTACCTACTTAGGATTTAATATAACAACCAAATGTAGTAGGATCAGGATCATTAGTTGTCCTGTGAGAATAGTCGAGAAGCACCCTTGTGTATACCAAAAAAATAAAATAACACTTTTGAAAATTGAGTGACCTAATAGAAACTTAGTTCAAATTTTGTTGATCAAAATAGATTTGATCCTAAAACTTAATTACTCTAACATGAAATTATAATTTTTCGAACAGGGAACATTTTACAAATTACAGAGATGAAATCTTTGCATTTTGATCAATCCCATGGTTGTAGACGTGGAGGTGCTCTTGGTGCTCGCATGAACCTGTTTGACCGTTTTGCAAGGGTCGTAAAGGTAACTTCGAATTGATTCATCCCTTGGTTTAGTAATCTCTGGAACTTCACGAATTTGTGGATAAACATGACATTTGCTTTCTCATGAGTAGTCATATGCAAATGCACTTGTAAGTTCCTTTGAGGATCCTGAGAAAATCCTGGAGCAGACAGTGCTTGAAATGAATGATGATTTGACAAAGATGCGTCAAGCCACAGCACAGGTAAGTTTCAGAAACATGTATTCCTCTTTTTTCTCTGCCTGCCCTACCTTGGGTGTTGTCCTTTACTTCTGAAACAGTAGTGTTGTTTCTTCCCTTTCAACTTTCATTTATAATTTATTCATGATTCAGGTTCATCAATTGCAAATTTATAATTTATTCATGATTCAGGTTCATCAATTGCAAATTAGAAGTTGCATGCTATTAGGAAATATTACATAAGGATGTGAAATAACGAGGTGCCTTAATTAAGATCTACGAAATAAATAACTTTTATAGCAAAAGGCAAGCAAATATACTAAATATGTCTTACTTTAACTCCTGTCTCATTATATAGTTTCTTCACCTTTAGTTCCATATAGTCATTTTAAATAGAAAGATGGGGCCTCTTTGGCTCCTCCTTCTGGATGTGAATTGGGTATGTGTGTACTTTGAGGAATAGGTGGAGCTTGACATTACGGACAAATCATAACACCACAAATGCAATGCCTTTCATTGGTTTTCCATTTTTCATCTGTAAAACTGATCATTTTTATTGAAGGTACTAGCTTCTCAGAAGCGCTTGGAAAACAAGTACAAATCTGCACAGCAAGCTGCTGATGATTGGTAAAACTCTATAACCATTCTCCATCTTCTTAGTAGGGTGCTTAGGATTGGAGATCTTTCATTGTAATATACACCCTTTGGTGGTTGGGAGTCTATTAACTTCCTTTATTTCATTCATCAATAGATTTTTTCTCCTCCAAAATAAAATTCTTAGAAGATTGATAGCCATTCACCTTTCATTTCAATTTGTTATATAGGTATCGAAAGGCACAATTTGCTCTCCAAAAGGGAGATGATGATCTTGCTCGGGAAGCTTTAAAGAGGCGCAAATCATTTGCTGTAAGTTAGAACAAGTTCTTTTCCAAATTTGATTTGTATTTCATGATAAATTCTTTTTGGAACGTTTGCCAAAGTTTCAGTTATTTTAATGTGAAGTATTCACTCAGCATGATTTTTGCGGGAATTTATGAATGAATGCTGGTTTCTTCATAGAATTATATTTGCAAGAAGGAACTTACCAACTTGTAAAAATCTTTTTTAATTTTTTGTCCAACATGCAACTCATGTTATTTTCTCTCCTATAGGTACGCTGTTAGAAACAATTTTGAATTTGAAATTTCATTTTTGTATGGAAAGATTAATGACTTATTGTGACTGATGATCACCTTGTTCTACATCAGGATAATGCAAATTCTTTGAAAGCTCAACTTGATCAGCAGAAGAATGTTGTGGAAAATCTTGTTTCTAATACACGGGTATGAAGTTCTGATTAAAAATTATATTCTATTAAAAAAATTAGAATATAGCCCAAATGTATCTCTTGTAGGCAATGTGAATGAATAAATCATTAGTGTAAACCAATGAGGAAATCCATCTTTGTTTTGGAGCTATGAAAGAATATGTAAAGAACATTTTTGTAATTTCCGTAGTCATAGATATTGGGAAAATTTATACTCTTCTTTTTGTTTAGATAATGCAGATACCTATTACTTTTTTAGTTTATCTTAATAGGTTGCGCATATGATTAGAATTAGAAACAGGTATTTATCATGTAATATATGTTTGAGTATTAGATGGATTCTGACTTTATGCTTTCTAAACAAGGATAATTAGCGAATGTCGTACTATTTTACCGAAGAAACTTTCTTTGTAGCTATTAGAGAGCAAGATACAAGAGGCAAGATCAAAGAAAGACACACTGAAAGCACGTGCGCAGTCTGCGAAGTTTGTGCTTTAATTGTAGATTGTTAAAAGACTTTTTTCTTGAGTTTCTTCACATATTGTTGCTGATACCACCTTTCTGTGGCTTTAGGACTGCAACCAAAGTGAGTGAAATGTTGGGGAATGTTAACACAAGCAGTGCTCTTTCTGCTTTCGAGAAGATGGAAGAGAAAGGTAAGGAAATGAAATATTAAAGTCAAACTTAGGCTTGCATGTTATCTCTGAAATCACTCCCGTTTAGATCTTACTTTTAATTCAATTAAATTTTCATATTGAGAATTACGTCATCGTTTACTACATAGAAATTTAATTAAGTTCTTTCTTATGGAGATGAAGTTTGTTTTGTGGCAAGCTAAAACTTATCTTCTTTACTGATATTTGGTTTCTTCATTTTCTATCTTTTCCACCAAAATATAAGATTTGACATTATTTATCATTTGCCCTAGCGACCAGTCTTCCCCATTAACATGGATCAAATCCTCCAACATTCCTACTACTGGTACCTTAGCCAGCAGCCACTGCTATTTCCTCTCTCTTCCTTCCATGTTAGCCTCCAAATTCAACCTTTTAAACTGTCCTTTTGTTGGAAAACTTGGAAATTATATCCCTCATTTTTTGTAGGACTTGGATGACAAATTTCAAAGCGAAGTTAGACTTCATTTACTATCTGATATTTTGATTTTTTTTTATTCAAATTTCCCTTATGATCAAATATTTACATCAATAACTCTATCTTCACTTTATTTGTTCGACATATGAATCCATGCCTGTAACTTCACTATGCAGTTTTGCATTGTGATGTGAGCCCTTTCAGTCTATTTCTTTCATGTATATGGACCCCTGACATGGTTATTACAGTTCATTGCTGAATCAAACCTTTGCTTCAGTTTTTTTTTATCATTGCTTGATCTTTCAAACAGAAGATTTTTTAAGCTAATATTACTTTATTTAGACAAGTTTTCGTAATGAGATTCTTGTATATTTTTCATTCCTCAAAATTTTGGTAGTTATGGCAATGGAGTCTCAAGCAGAAGCTCTTGGACAGTTAACTGCTGACGATCTTGAAGGAAAGGTAACAGTTCTGTTTTCCCTCCAAATTTATTTTGTGCTTAATTTTATTGATTGAGCTTAAAACAGGTACCATTTATATTAAAGATCTTTAAGAGGGGGCAAATTTCTGATTTTGTTCCTTCCAGAACTTCAGTTACTTCTTTGGTTAAGTATTTTGTAAGGAATGACTCCAAAATAACATCTTTGATCGGTAAACAAACGAAATGATCTCTCTCGGTTTTTTTAAATTAAAAAATGATTTGTTTGTTTGTTCTTTTTGGTATAGCATATTTTGAATGTTGGCTAAGTTTTAAAACAATTTTGTTACTCTTAAAGTGTGACAATATATCTTTTTCATAAGATAAAAAATACACCTGGTTCTTTGATAGAACTTAATCTTCAGTCATGGAAATTAGAACTTAATCTCCAAGGCATTATAAATAATACTATCTGACTTGTGATTGAATGTTTGTTTGGCCTAATGTTCAGTGGTTTGCTAGGTTAGTACATTTATTTTTGCTCTGACCTCTTTTCAATATTGTAGTTTGCTCTGTTGGAGGGCTCATCAGTCGATGATGAGTTAGCGAACTTGAAGAAAGAGTTATCTGGAAGCTCAAAGGTAAATCATAGGTTAAAATTATATTTTTTTATGATCGTATTCTTTGTAATGCACTTTATACTTTAAAGCGGGAACTGCTCTGAATTTATGAAGCTTGGTTGCTCTTTGTTCCCTCGTTTATTTCAACTGTCCTCGATGAGAAACTATTTGGTAGCAATTGTCTTCAACCCATATCCTACCCTTCGTTGGGATTACAGAGCCTTGTCCAATATGAAAACGCTGGATGTTAGTGATCTTCTGTTGTGCTTTGGGAGTTTCATTGTTGCCCAAGAGAAGGGATGTCCATTTTTTTACCCTAATTCTTTTGAAGCGTTCTTGTGTAAATCCTTTTTTCTTTATTTAGTTAATCATTTTCCTTTGAGTGATTCAGTTTTTGTGGAAGGTGAAAATTTTCAAGAAGGTTAAATTTTTTGTCTAGCAGGCGTTCCATGAAAGAATTAACACCTTAGATAGGGTTTGGAGGAGGTCTCCCAACTTGATCATATTCTTTGGAGTTGTGACTTTGCTTGTGCAGCTTGGAACCCTTTTTTATGAGTTTGGTGTGGGATTGATTAAGCATAGAGGCTGCAAAGAGATGTTAGAGGAGTTCTTGCTCCATCCTCCTTTGCGTGAGAAATGAAGATTTTTGTGGCATGTTGGGGTGTTTGGCTTGTGTGGGGACTTCGGGAAGAAAGTGTGAGATACCACATGGGTTGGGGTGGAGAACAAAACTTCTTTATAAGGGTGTAGAAATCTCTCCCTAACAAATGCGTTTTAAAACCATGAGGCTGATGATGATACGTAATAGGGCCAAAACATACAATTTCTGCTTGCGGTGAGCAGGGCGGCTGATAGTGGGGCCAGGGATGGATCTTTCGAGTCGAATATTGTTGTGTTACCTGTTAGTTTTCGATTTTCCAAACATCTCCTAGAACTTGGGGATGAAAAAGATTGAGTATCTCATATGATATAACATTCCTCTGGTGTTTGAACCTAAAAATGGGATTCTCTGTGTACAGAAAGGAGAACTTCCACCAGGAAGAACTGTTTCTGGCAGCGCGTTTCCGGTTCGTGATGCTGAGATCGAGTCGGAACTCAATGAACTGAGGCAAAAAGCAAGAGAAATGTAGGGGTAGGGGTATGGCAAATCATTAGAATCTCTAAGGTCCAAATTTTGATGTCAGTAAGTGACATCTAATGCTTTCCACATTAGAATTACATTGTACAGGAAGGAAATGATCCAAACAGATCAAACATTGTATAGCTAAACTCCAATTTTTGGACTGAGGATGCATTGCAGAACTTGTTTAGTTCATATATATTGATGAATCTGTGGGATCAAATGTTGTTTGTAAGTTAAAACACAACTTTCTGAACAGAGATCAAGCATTTTTGCTTGTCATCTATTTCGTCTTCTTTTCACTAACTTTATGTAGATACCCATCGGCAGTTTGCAGAAAAGCTTGCTACCTTCTGTTTGCATCATGCAATTGAAATTTGTGTTTAGGACACTTTTCCTCTTTTTCAACCATTTAATCAATGATGTTTGAATTTCTAGGGTTCATTTTGGTCTACTTTTAATTAGTCAATTTTAGTTTCTATAATTTCAATAAATTTTAATTTTAATTCCTATACTTTCAATAAATTAGAATATTCGTCTTTCAATGGTTAAATAATAATGGTAATTTTGATGCAAGAAAAGATATTATCTCGATGTATATTTTTTTAAACAAAGGGTTTCTAATATAAGTTTTTTTTTTTTATAAAAGAAAAAAAAAGTCTAAAATCATGGGCTAAACTTCATATTTATTGAAAGTAGAAGGATTAAGATTAAAATGAAATGAATTTAAAGATAATCATGTTTTTTATTTTGAGAATTTGTAAGTTTTTGGTGGGAAATTAATTTTTTTTTCTCATTTAAAAGATAAATTAAAAATAATTATTTACTATAGGTGTTGAAATTTTTTATATTTATATTTGGGAATGGAAAAATAAAAAATTTATAAACCTAATTTATAAAAAAATAATAATAAATTTCATGTATTGGGTTGCTGCAAGCCATCCAATTCCTTAGTCAAACTCTTCCTAGCTTTTTTTTATTCAACTAAAGTTATTTATTTATTTGAAAATAAAAAAAAATTAAAAGAATAAAAAATTAGTCAATTCAAATATTCAAATCTTGACCCTAATAAGCATGAGACCATTTAATTAATTTTTTTTTAAATAAGATGTATTTTTATTTTATAGATTTAAAGATTCAAAATAAATATTTTAAAGGAATATTATTTAATTTACCAGAATTTTCAAGAAATATAAAAAATGAGGTGATACTCTAATACAATTTATTAATTAAATTGGAAATAGATATGTTTAATTATATAAAATAGAGTTTTACACCATAGAATTAAAATTTAATTTAATTTATGCAATTGACGCATAAAAACTCATTTGATGTGATAAAAAATAGACCAAATCAACAAATTATTCTATTAATTTAGTTTGAAAAAAGAGACATCAATAAATTATATTGTAGAAAAAATAAAATATATTTATAAGTTTCTCTGTAACCATTAGAATTTTAAAATAAAAAATGGTATAATTTTAATTATAAATTTTAAAATATAAACCAAATTTTCACTTGCATACATTTCTTTTATTATTTTATGTGCTCTTTTATTTTATGCTATTAAAATTAATGAATCAATAAAATTATATTAAAAATTTAATGATAATGTACGAATTTAGCCATTAAAATTTAATAAATCAATTTATTTTAAAATTTAAATTTCCAAAAACTATTTAAATGTAGGTTTATTTGTTCCAATTTAATAAATTTTATTTAAATAAATACTTGTTATTTTTTTTTTTTTTAATAAAATGCAATAAATTGATGCAACATAGTTGAAATAAATGGATACAAAGTAGTAATTGAAACTATCCATTCATTATTAGTAATATATATAGTTAATTAATTACTATTATTATTAATTTAGTATGAGATTATTTTTAATGATTTTTTTAAAAATTATATTTATTTTTTAATTAACTTTTATTATTTTACTAATTAAGGTATGTAATTATATAACTAATTTGCATTGATAATTTAATTTACATGTGAAAAAAAATATTAATGAAATTTTAATAAATGATCTAAATAAATTCACCTATAACAATTTAGAGTTTAAACTATCAATTAATGGTATAAATTGTTATTTATTTTGTCGATATTTTTTTCTTTTAAAGTTAAATATTCAAAATTTTGTCATTTATTTAAAAAAAATGATATTTTTCTTTTATTTATTTATTATTTATTTCACTTTTTGGACGGTCGGTTCAAAAAACAGCCATCAACCAAAGTCAATTCAAAATTTCAGATCTAACCCCTTTTCTCACAAACGAGTATTTATTTGTATATATATATATATATATATATATATATATATATATATATATATATATATATATATAT